TGGCGGCGTTTCAGCGCACGGTGTCCCGTGCATGCCAGCTGTCACGCCGAAGTTATACTCCTCCTCCACGAGGTAGCGCTCAAATTATCAGAGATGGCTTAATATGTCCCACGCTGCTGTGAAAAACGGCAAAACCGGCGATGAACTAAGCGTTGCTGCCTCCAGTGACGCCTGTCGTTAATAACATCGCATACCACTTTCTCTGCTTTTTACAACACCTTTTGCCCCTTTTATGACGCCGTGGGCACAACAGGCCTGAATGCCACGCACTGATTAGAATGCGGCATCAAAAGTTCCACCCGGAGGGGCGCCTATCGACGAGAACGAAATAGACGCGTACCGGGAGTTCCATCCGGCTTATCTTACTGTTCCTTCCAACTGAAAGACAGTCCCCGTACTTAACTATCCATAGAAACGAGGGAGACGGAAGCGATAGAAGCAAATCGGCCCTGGAGTGGGCGAAATGTTCCGGGCAGGTAGAGCGCCTCTGAGTTTATTTATATATATAATCAATGCCACAATCAGCGGGCGTCTGAGTGAGCATCACCTGTGGCGCCGGAAAGCTGCGATGCGCGGTCATTTCCAGTGCTGAGTGGTCCAGAAATGTGGAGAAAGTGTGTGCTACACGTTAGTGAATTGTCAATGTCTGCCGGGACAGTGATCATATTGATGATTTAACATACTTTTAAGTATGAGTTGAAACTGAGCCAGAATAAAATCTTACCCTCTACAGCGGAATTAAATGACTCCAAAGCGGCAGCAGGCCTACTACGTCAGTAGCAAAGATGGGGGCAGATTAAATATTCCACATCCCGCCCACATGCTTTCACAGTTCGCGTTTGAATGTCCTACCCGCAGTGTGCACAGAGCAAAACTTATTACTTGCAGAATTTATTTTTCTCGCACTCTCGCAATGCAGAAGGTCCCCACCATTGCGGGAAGTATCTTCGGGGTGCCACCACTGCCATACCAAATTCAAGTTAATAAACCACCCACAGATTTTCTGAGCTGTCCTGGCAGTACTACCGATACTATGACGTGCGTCATGCTGGGGAACAAGTCAACCATCCGAAAACCAGAATACAGTATGATATGAATGCTTGCGCCCATAAACAATTTTGTTTTCAACTCGCACCAACATAATAATACTTCATATTGCTTCTATGGTCTCACTACGGGAGACCAGCGTGCGCACCGCATTCGGCTTCACTTGAACGTGCGCTGTGCATTCGATACCAGACGGCCACGAAATAAAACTAAATCTCAGGAGCAGAAGTATGTTGCACGCACTCTGCGTCACCGCGAAACTGGAACGAAAGCGCACGTGATCCCTGCGCACAACCCCAGACGCACTACTGTACTTCAACGATCAATTCGACAGGGGGGGTGACGTATGACCACAAATTCCAGTTCGACAATTCGACAACCGCAAAATTTGGCGTGACCGACCTGAAAATTTCGACAAATGGAGCCAAAAATTCGTCGAAATCGAGCCTTTTTGCGCGACCGCGGCCGATTTTGGTGTGACGAACCAAAATTTTAATTCGACTGAGCCCTGGGTGATGCGTGACAAGTACCAAATTTCGGCCTCGACAGATCCCCGCGTGACGCGTGACTGTTGAATTGATTATTAAAGTACAGTATCGTGTTTGCCGCCAGCGCTATTGCCTGTAACCCCGTCCCAATAGCCCGATGCGCGTGTGCTGTAGAGCCCCGAGAACGGAATAGGTAGAAGGACTGTCACCATAGCGGGAAGAATGGGAAATCACGGCCGCGAACGAACCGCTAATCGAAGCACCATCAAAACAAGAGTGTCCCCGCCCCCGTCCCAAAATAAATAAAATAATCACGGCACGGGGAAGGAATGCGGCGTCCTCGAGCCTGAGAAGGTGATACTGGACGGGGAACCATGCTTTTGCGGGGCGAGAAAAAGGCAAAGCCCATGAGGACAAAAAAAATGCCCGCAAGGGGAAAGAAACTCCCCTGAAGCCAGCAAACGCGGGACACGATGAGTAATGGGGAAACAGATGAAGGATGGGAAGACTCAAATGGAGGGTAGGAAGAATGAAACAACGCAGAGGAAAGAAACCAGAGGGCAAACAAAGAAAAAAACAGACGACTGGACCGGGCACCAGTAAGTCCCCTCCAAATTATGTGACTGACAGGTGCGGAACGCGATATAAGACGGCGAATCATGCCCGCGAGGGGGGTAGAGATACACTCCCCCTAGGCCAGTGAGCGTGCGACATGATGAAGGGTAGGAAGAAGGAAAATAAAGTCCCAAACAGCGCGGACCGGCAACAAAACCCAAAAACAGGAGCAAAAAACGCCCCCAAAGATACAGAAAAAAAAAACCGGAAGTTGCAAGGGAAGGGGGGAGGAACAATCAAAGGTGAAGGGGAACGTGAAAGGGAAAGTGCCCGCCAAAAAAAAAGAAATAAAGAGGGGGTAGAGGATTGGGAACGAGTAAGCGAAAGGGGAGCACGAGGACACATGAAGGGGGGAGAAGAGAAGGGAGAGTAGCGCGGTAGTTGGCGCGGCACAGGCTACGTGGGACATCGAGGGCAGGCGGGGCCATGTCACCATGTCACTAGCGTGAGCCGCACCCGTCCCGTCTGCGATTTCGCGCGCGTGGGTGCGTATGCTGCTAGTCTTGCGCCGTGGCGCATGCGCAGAGATGCGGCTCGGCCCGCTTCCCATTCCCATGCAGGCGGAAATTGGAAACCGGCGTTCATGAGTGGACCATGCCGTGTAATACTATCCATCCACCTACCTACCTACCTGGCATATGGAATGTGTGGCATTGGACGCTCTCCCGACCGAAAAAAAACTTTGTATACAACTTTTTTTTTCAGGGGACGTGAAACAAACGCGCCTGCGGTTGCGCCGCGGCCTTAGAAATCCACAGCCGGCACAAAGCCGCAGTCCAGCCATACTTTTAGTCAATTTCAGGCGGCCTGACGACATAGCCGAAATTATTCAAGCGCGCATTGATACCCACAATTATGCCCGTACTCATTTCAGGCGCCTCGGCGCTCAATTCTTTGCACATGGGCTCATCCCGTGGATTTATTGTTTGGATTTATCGGCAGACGAGCTCGAGCCCCTGATCTACTACGAGTATCCTATGCGCGCTTGTGGGCAAGGGATAGCTAGCTAACGCTCAAGACGTCATTGTGTGCAGAGGGGGGAGCACGTATGACGGGAGGGCGCACGAAACGTCGGCCGCCGGAGAAGGGAGGGCATAGAAACAGAGGAGGAATAAACTCGCGCTCGAAGCGGAGAGGCAGAACTGCATGTACACCAAGTGGATGATACGCGTCGAGACAAGGTAATGTGTTTTGGGGGAAATGCCTATATATCATGCGTAGTGGTGATGACGACCCGAACATCGCGGAGGTGCACGACGATATGGATACCGCCGAGGCGCACGACGCCACCATGGACAATGAAGTCGCGCGCAGGCGCCTCTTCGCGCGGCAGATCAACACTCCTTCGCACGCCGGAGGAGATGCTTCAGATTCGCTGCCAGCGCAGCCAAAGGAGCCGGACGCCGAGGCGTATGACACCACCATGGACATTAAAATCGCGCGCAGGCGCCTCTTCGGGCGGGAGATCAACACTTCTCCGCGCGCCGCACGCGGAGGTCGGGCGAGGTTGATCCGGACGAGGAGCCGACAATACGCCCCAAAGAAGCGTTCCGGCCACTCAAACGCGATGCGCCGCCGTTTCCTTCGGATGCGGCGCCGTCGTGTCCTTTGTCCAAGCGTCGACTAAAAAAGGACGCGCTGCCTTTCCCTAGTGCGATGTCTATGCGAAGTCGCGGCGGGAGTAAAGATTGCGGTGCGACGGGGGCGACGAAGGGCACGGTAGCGATATCGAGATGCAGCCGCGAACGCACCTCCTGCGCCGACGACGTGCTGCAATTGGGACCAGGCGGGGGGTGGGCATGTGTCGCAGGGTATGCGGACTCGCCGCACCGTGACGTTTCGTGCTATCGTCGCCGCGTGCCGCCGTCGTGGTGTGTCGGGTGACACACTCTAGAAGCACCCTACATACACTGTCAGCGCGGAACAACGCAAGCAGGCGGGACGTACGGGATAGGCGAGGGGTCGGCGCGCAGTCACTTTGGGAGTGGCAACGTCGCGGGACGAGCAGCCTGCGTGGGGGGTGGGTGGCGACAAGGAAAAGGAGCAGCCGCGCAAGGCGGGTCACGCGCCGGTGCCGCGGATCTGGAAGTGGAGGCATGCGGGGTACGTAGGTCGTGCGCCTCGAGGCCGTGGCTGGCGTTCTGCGCCGGGGAGGCCTGCGACGCGGGTGCGCGAGCGCGGGGGTGTGGCCGATGGTGGTGCTAGGCCGTCGCTGCATTCTCGGCTGGTCCGCGGGTGTGTACAGTGTGGGTGGGGCTTTGTGCTCGGACCGGAGGGCGAGCGTAGGCGGTCCTGGATTGCATATAGCCTATAGGGATCGCATCGAAGGCAGGACATAGCGCGGATGTGGAGTTATCATGGAGTTGGCACGGTCGGACGCTTTAGTCGGTAGGTAGGTAGGTAGGATTACACGGCACGGTCCCGCTCAGGAACGCCGGGCCCAGGAATTATAAGGCATTGCCAGTGGTAAACCAATATTAATTGCATGTAGCCAACTTTTGATGGTTTTTGGCTAGCGGAGGGTAGTACCAGCACGGGCCAGTAGAATCCGTACAGCTCAGCCCATCAAGCTGGCAGCATGCAAGTCGCCGGCGAGATGATGGCGAAGAGGAACGAGCCCGCAGTGCCCGGCATTGATGCACTGAATTGATGGCCGCATAGGTCCGACCTTTTCGGCCGATCTCCCCCGCTTTGAACCAACCACTGAAGTTTGAGCTGTGTGGCAGTACAGTTGCAGCAACATTTTCTGGCCGAACAAAAATTCAATTCTAGCTACCCATGTGCTTGTGTATTCGAAAAAAAAGGAGAAGACATTCACAAAAGAGGGTTTACTTTCTCATCCCCCAATAATGTCCTCGGGAGGATTTGAACTTCCACCTCCCATTTCGACATTCGTCGGATCGTATCATACTCAAAATGGGTGATGTCCAATTCATCCACAAGGGCTACTTTCTTACCTCTGAAAACCTGATACCAACCTCTATTTTCAGCTGTCTTCGAGTTCCTGAGCGCGAAAAAAACGCGACATGCCCAAGGGAGCATCCTACCTTCGCGCAATGGAACCCGTCATCTACGAGGGCGCACCTCTGAACCCACATTTCTCCTGCATGGAAAAAAGAGGCACATTCGCTCCTTAATGCTCTTGGGAGGACTCGTACCTCCACTTCCCAGCAGCATCGCATCATCACTACACGGGTGATTTTGCAATCCATCCACAAGGGCTCATTTTCTCTACCCTTGAACCTGAATATCATTTATTTATCAGCCTTCTCTTGCACGGCCAAAAAAAAAAAAAACTTTGGTCATGACATGGATTCGAAGCCCCGCCTCCCATGTGATGCAGGGTCGTGCAAATCTCCCATTGTGGTGGGTGATGTACCGTTTCATCCACGAGGGGCTATTCTCTAGCCTCTGAACGTGAATACAAGCCTATATCCTCAGTCTTCTCTCGCAGGGGGAAAGAAAAATCCTGCTCTGCGCTGCAGCATGCTGATGCGATTCGAACCCTGCTTCCCATTCCGAGATCCGGCAAATTGAACTCGGGATGGGTGGTGATGTCCACGAGGGCATATTTTCTTTACCCTTGAACCTGGGCACGATCTCATCTTTTCACGCTTCAGAGCTGCAAAAAATAATGAGGCACGCAGCTATTGGATAATTTGCACATCACTCATTCCGAAGTAGTGTTGCCACGGCTCGGCTACGGTTCGCTTGACTCGGCTTTTGATGGCTTGCAAGCCGTTTCCAAATAGAGCAAGCCGAGCCGTTGCCAAGCCGCCGGCTTCTGGCGGCTTCGGCTCGGCTCGGCTTTAAGTCATGACTTGCATGCCAAAAAGGGAAGAGATGAATCATATTATGTGTTCGCAAGTAAAGAAGCTACAAATGAAGTAATGTCCTCTGGAATAGCGCTCTGATCATTCATAAGACCCTCCAGCCAATTTATTTCGTCGTCTTTGCTCATGCCAGCAGTGAAATCAAGCCCGTAGCCCTGCTTGACGATAAATTTTAGCATTTGTAATGCCTCCATTAGCTCAGCAGTCGTCCGATTGCGTCTAAGTGTGTCAGTCTCTGCGCTTGAAGAGAAAACTCGCTCGCAGGGCACGGCTGATCCCTGGATTGGGAGGATGTCTAGTGCCAGTGGGAATATTCGTGGATAACGGAGCTGATTTTCCTGACGAAATATTACATATGTAGGGTGTAATATCAAAACAGGGTTCAAGCTCACCTCCCAATAGTTCACAGAGCCAAGACCAGTTCATGGATCAGTGAGGTAGGCATCGATTTCATCATCGATACTTCCTTCGGGACAGTGTGATGTCTGATTGCCATCATTAAGACCGAGTAAATTGTCAGCCCAGTTATCATTCAACGGGCGTGTGGGTTAGATTTTATTAAGCTGTATCTTCTAAACTTCGAACAACATACCGCGTCTTTGAACAGTTGTTTGGCCCATTCAATCTGATCCGGTTTATACCTGCTGAACCACCGAAGTTTTATTGCAGGGTTAAGGACTTGGAGAAGCGAAACATGAGTCTCATAAACCCGAATACGATCCATCCACGTACTCATTGCAAGAACGTACGCAGGAACGCGCTCAACGCGTTCTTGATACGAACCCAATTTATCAAGCCCCTTCTGGATAATGTCAGCGATCTCTGGGTTCTCACGTTGCATCTGCTCCCACTTGCTGATCATCGCCTCGAATGCCGGCAATGCGTTACCCAGGGTGGGAGTTTTTTCCGCCGATAATTTCTGTTGGAACGCATGCGGTACCTGTCCGGTGACTGTAAGTAAAAGTCCGAGTGAAGTAGAGGATTTAAGCGCACTTCCAGAATTTTTTTGAAGGCTCCCAGTGCATCCCATTCATAGTCACCTAACTCATATTTTGGAGATCTTCGAATTGGTTGCTGGATAGAAATTGATCCACAGCCTATATACGAATTGTTACCTTACCAATTGATTATTGAGTAAGCTACTTACTGGACGAAGAAGGAGCCCATGTTCTATCATTAGTAGTGTTGATGACCAGCGAGTAATCACGTCTCGAAGGAGCTCAAGGTCTTTGAGCTTCAGGGTCTTGGGAATATCTGCAAAGAATTGTTGCCGCAGGGAAGATGAACGAATCTGGAAGATTCAGAAAGGTCAGGTTACGGCTTGCATTACGGAACAGTGAGATAACAATACCTGCCGAATGATAGTGCGAAGCGTCGCAATCGGATTGCGGTCTATAGCATCCATGAACGTGGCCGCAGGGCCACTGCGAGGTTCGTAGTTGTCTGCATTGTTGTCTGCGAAGTCGGTATCCGTGATGGCTTTCAAGATGGCCTTGCACGCGAGGTGGACGATGTGCGGAAAGCGACTAGAAAAGGTAAAAGACATGTCAGTCGAGTCCGTAACAAAGTTTTTAAAAAACTTGTCAACCGAATACACCGTTCTATTTTAGAAAATGGTATACCACGTCGTCTCAATTCAATTTCAAGCGATCACATGAATGCATCATTATTGAAAGCATTATCAAGAGTAGGCCAGCCGAGCTGAAGAATGATAAAGGAATAGGACTGTTCCACATTGTAAGGACTTACTTTATTTGTAATATGGATACGATCGAGCACATGCAGAAAAGCGTGCGCAAGGTGCTCCCCATTATGGTGACCAGGAATACATATAAATCCTATTAAAGAAGCGTGCAGCTGGAGAGCGTATCGTGGGCCAGATGGTGTTTGGACAGTCTTAGCTTCGATCCAATGAGCAGCGACAGCCATGTATGGTCTGAGCTGTTTATCGGTCCGCATATCCATTGTTACAGAGATTTTCCCAAGCGTACCCTGGGAAGAGATTATGGAATGAACTGGAATAGAAATGGCTACGCACATTTAGTTCTTCTTGGAGGTGATCCAAATACTCATCAAAAAGTTGGAGAATTCGAGTCCGAATGGTCGTTTGATGAGGGATATCAGAGTCCTTGAGATCTTCACGTAGCATCAGGAATATTGCTCGGAGATTTTCATTCTCTATGACGTTGATAGACTGTACTCCATTATGAGTAGGTGTATTTAGATTTCATAATACATACCTGATCATCGCCAACAATGAACTCGACAAGCGCATCGACAAATGCTTCATGCGAGAAAGAACGCTGGCATTTCTTCTGCTGAGAGGTACCTGAGCCGCCAGGTTGCTGACCTTGACGTTGCCGGTAGTCGTTGACTGCGGGCTGAGCTTCCTTCGCCGTAATTTTAATGTTTAGCTGGTCACAAGCGGTGACCCAAGCGTCAGTATGGTGATCATAGAGATGTTTTCGAAGTACGCCCGTGCTGGTTTTCAGGCTAAACTGCGTTTCTCGGATATGCGGATGAGTAGCGTGTTGTTGGCTTTCGCAAATTAGCTATTTGCTTGAAACAGCGAACCAATATACTTACCGGCAAAAGATGCAGTGGTTCTTCTGCTGCATTTCGCTGTAGAAAGTCCAAATGTCGACTGCCGATGATTTCCGAGTGCCAGCTGGTGCACGGTGGGAACGAGAGGTGCGCCCGTGGGTAGCACTGCCGGGGCCTGCCCGAGGAGTGCCGGCGCCATGAGAATGACGGTGGCTAGATGCAGGCGGAGCCGGAGTCGGAGAGGGAGAGGGATTTGGGCTCTGTGTCGCGGGCGGTGATGGGCCAAATGATTCTTTGTCATCCATTTGAAAGCGAACATTCGGGCACCTCACAGGCCGTTCTCCATCGGAATCAGGATCGAATAAGTCACGAATACGTTCTGGAGGATGTCCTACAGACGATGGAATGTCAGTAAAGTATTACGTAGCATCGCTACAATACACATACTTGTTTCATTCACCTGAGGAGAAATCCACGAGCTGGATGCGACTGGTTGTCGTGGTGCAGCCCGGCGATTCCCTGTTGCTTGTATAGGGCTGGGATTGGATGTGTTTGTAGATTGACCTGAATGACGTATTCAGTTATCATATTAGATTAGTAGACATAAAAACCGACCACCTGCACGCTGGTGTGACCCTGCTTCTGATGCTACAGCAGCTTGCACAGTCGGCTGAACCGGAGTCGGAGGCTCCTGATACCGCCGGCGCCGGTGATACGCATGCCGCGGGGGCTGAGTGTAATGTATAAGATGGAAGGTGTGCTCTACTGGTGCCCTAGCGGAACACTGTCTGCAACCGGAGCGTATGAGGCAACTATGTCGGGTACGACCGTCAAACCACTATCACTCCACAAAACCAACAACCAAATATAGCTAGCTCGGCTAGGAGAAGCGTCCAACGCTTAAACTTCCTGGCTATCTCCCTGATGAACGGCTTGTACGCCGTATGATCGAAAGTTCGGGGTAGGGACCAAGTATTAGGCCGCTTTTATGATAGTCCTTCCGTAAATGTAATCTCTTCTCTGCTCCAATCCTCTCTTGACTTCGGATCATGGTACACCAGAAACGCACTAGCCTAGCTAGTCGTGCTAATAGCTCTCTGCGATGTGACCTCCTATAGAATTCCTATCCGTGAACAGATGGACCTTCACAAGGTTCTTAACCAATGTTCTCGAAACGTGTACATGTGTTTTACGGCTGTTAACCGGCGTGTTTATTGTGCTAGCTCGCACTTGTATCCTTCCAACCAAGTCCAACCTCGACTCCTTGTCCTTTTAACCGCTCTGCTCTGTGTCGCGTATGCGTTCTGTGACGCTGCACGCGGACTCTCAACGAGTATGAAACCGACTCTCAACGAGTATGAATCCAAACGCTCAACGCGCCCCTCAACGGGTAGAAACCGACTCTTAACGAGTATCAGCCACTCTCAACGAGTATGAAACCTTGAAACCCTCAATCCCTCAATCCCTCAGTGCACTCTGTGCGTGTTGTTGTGCAAATGAACTTCTATTGAAGGACAAATGGACGGTGGGCTAGATGCGCGCCTTTAGAACGTAGGGGGTCACTATATG